AACCTACGGCTATTATCCTTCAGGGAAACAGTGACTGTGCAACAGAATCCCCTCTTTGCCTATGGCAAGGGCTCAGCTCCTAATCTAAAACGGAATGTTAAAATTCTTGCGTTAATGTCTTACTTGAGGTACATTATACATGTAAGTCTGCCAAAAAATAGATTTTACTCTCTCATTGGTCGTCGACTGTTGGCATTCATCAGTGTGGTGATGTTTCGTTCTCTGAGCTGCAAATATTCTCGAGCATTTATCAGTCTTGTAAACTTGGGGCATGTTGAACATGTTCCTTCAGGGGCGTTTAGTCTCTTCTAATGTGCCAAAAGTGAGAAGCATTCTCACTTATTCGGCCATGATGTCGAGGATAGCCATATATTTCAGTGATGATCAAGAGGAAACAATCATGATATAACATTTCTCTGGTGAGTCACTTCATAATACAAACAACTAATACATGTTAGCACTTAATAAGTTATCCATGTATGATAGAACACGGAACAGAAATCTCCAAAATTTCGTGTCAGTGCTATCGAGGTTGAAATCAATTTATAAAGAAGCCGGATGTATTTGAATGTCGATCATTCCCGAGTGAATCTATCAGTTATAAGTTTTATTAAAGGTCTTTATTCGACAGAACTACAGTCCTCGAATTTGGGAACTACGAGTTATAAAAGCCTGTGGCTCTTGATTAAAGTAACTGAGGTTTCCACTTAAATTTCAGTCATCGCTATATGTGTGAAGGTATTTTTTAATAATGATTAAAGAGTGAACTATTAGTGACTTTGACGTTTTCGGACAATAATACACCGCAGAAAATTTATGTCTTCCATCTATCAACCTTTTATACGCTTTTTTACGGGCGAATTCTTATTCCCGTTAAAAATAATATTGAATCATTAGTTCTAATTAGTACATGCATTCTCACATTACAGATAATGTTCAGAGTCAGTTGACATTTAACTCCAGATCCACACCCATGAATCGACACAGGCGATAGGGCGGTCACTTCTACTGAAAGCATCCAGCCATTGAAGCACCTCACTTATGATAAAGCCTTGTATTTCATAAAATAATAGGGATCTCGACAGAATTGTACAGGTCTTTGCAGGTATAGTGTCAACGCTAAATTAGACCTTCAGCCTCCATCAACTTGGATATCTGATTTCAGAATAAAGAGGCATAATTAGAAGAGACTGCATAACTCCTTATCAAGTTCCCAGTCATTATTCGTTTGTTGTTTAACAGTTCATATTTCTTATAACCATTCTCAATAAATTTTACACATTTTTTAATGACAGTATTGAGATAAAATCCGGTAGTTACTGTTACAAATAGAATCGCATATATTTATTTCAACAAGTATCTTGTGTACATCTTATTTGGCTGTACAGATCTGAGGATGACAGTTGTGATGTTTGATAAGAGACCGATTATGCGAAACACTTCCAGTTAAAAGGTTGGATCGAATTATATGCAAAGTAAAAATCGACTGTTCCTAACTAACTCTCTTTCGCGTTAATATAATGTTACTATGATGAGTTTTGAAATCACTTGATTTTCAATGATTAGAGAGATGAGATTCTGATTCTAATGTTATCATTTATGCAAATATCTGTAAATTTACCAGTTAAAATACAATTACACCCAGATGTAGTTATTTTCAAATGAATGAATTTTTACGTATGTCCAATTTTGTTCGAAATTAAAGTGATCAAAATTCACGATTTTACTTGAAAATTTTCCGTTATTCACAATTTCCATGTTTCGTTTGTGAGCCAGACAAAATTTAACTTGAAATTATACTACTAACAAGCAGACAGTAGTTCGCTGAAAGAACTGCAGAATAATTCACCTTCGTTATATTGACAAATATGCTATCACATTTAGCTCATTAGAACAGTGTCTCTGTCCTGAATCAGAATCTCATGTCTCTAATCATTGAAAATCAAGTGATTTCAAAACTCATCATAGTAACATTATATTAACGCGAAAGAGAGTTAGTTAGGAACAGTCGATTTTTACTTTGCATATAATTCGATCCAACCTTTTAACTGGAAGTGTTTCGCATAATCGGTCTCTTATCAAACCTCACAACTGTCATCCTCAGATCTGTACAGCCAAATAAGATGTACACAAGATACTTGTTGAAATAAATATATGCGATTCTATTTGTAACAGTAACTACCGGATTTTAACTCAATACTGTCATTAAAAAATGTGTAACATTTATTGAGAATGGTTGTATGAAATATGAACTGTTAAACAACAAATGAATAATGACTGGGAACTTGATAAGGAGTTATGCAATCCATTCTAAATTCGACCAAAATATCTGAACTTCTTTATAAAAAAATAATATTTTTATACACCTTGATGAATTCACTGTTTTGATTAAGATGTCTAATTATTAGTATTGTTATTGATTTTATCATTATATTTCTTTGTACGTGTTTGGTTATCTTCACTAATCCAACCATTATTTCATTTGCTTTAAGGTTATCTTTTCATTCATCTGTGGTCTTTGTATATTCACTTCTTGAAACTTATATGAACTCTTTAAATTTCCTAAAGTTATTACGCAATTCATCTTATGTATTATTGAAATCCAGATGATACATATCTCACTTCTTTGAGTTCAATATCTAGCTTCGTTTGATCGCAAACTTATATGACCTCAGTAAATCTTGTATAACAATTACGTAATTCATCATCTGAATTCAGTGGATACACGAAATATGATGGTGTAAGAAACAAGCCTTGTTAAACGAAAAAAAAATAATTGACAGATTAGCTGTCATTTGATTGGCTGCTTTGATTTCAATATGACTAACTCCTTTAGCCTTATGAAAAAATTACCAGGTCAAAATGGAAAGATTAAAAAGATAACTAATGACATTTTGTTGAATAGATAAACATGTTTAAGTCTTGTAGACTAGTTTGATGACATCACACAAGCCTATGAATACAGACACTCGCCCTTTAGCATAAATGTTGTTATCAATTGTGGTAATGTTTATTTTAAGCAGAATTTGATTGTGTCTAGCAATTCAGGAATGCAGGATGAGTGTATATTCCTGTTATGGATGAATCGTGCTGTAATCGTTTGAAACTTCGCGCCTTAACTAGTCGATTGCATTATTAGTAAATGCACTGGTCATTTGAAGCAAAAGTCGATTGTTTGATCATGCATACCATGACATTAAGTTGCTTCTTACACTACAGTTTTCTGGTAAAACAAAGTTAATGAATATCACTGATAGGTTTTTTTTTGTCATAAATAATTAACCATGATCACATTTAAAAGAGAAGCTAACTAAAATTCAACTTTTTGATGCCTAATGATCTGTAGCAAAAAAATGACAGGTTTCTTAAACATTAAAAAATATTTACAAACAATCAACAGATAATGTTCGTATTCGAATAGAAAGTATCTAGTGGAGAGTACCTGACCTGTTATGAGATGCATCTCCAGAGATTAATAATATGTTTAAAAGATACTGGTTCACTAGCAATATTTTAAGTGTAGTGTCTGTCATTGAAAGGTGTACCAAAGAAGTACATTAACCTCATACAAGCTCTCTACTCGTACACCACTGGTCGAGTGAGAGCTCATGGTGAACTATCACCGGAATTCTTCACTTCAAGTGGTGTCCGTCAGGGATGTCCACTCTCTCCATTCTTGTTTAATTTTTTCATAGACATGCTCCTAGAAATAAGCTTATCCTCATCTGAATTTTCAGGAGTAGTCCTTCTACCAGGTGGCTCGCTTACTGACCTAGAATATGACGATGACATTGTCCTACTTGGTGAAGATGCTGACTAAATGCAGAGTCTTCTGACTACCCTAAGCAACAATGCAAGCATGTTCGGGATGCGGTTTTCCCCCTCGAAATGCAAAATGTTGCTTCAAGATTGGGTTGCATCGGCGCAGATATCCATGAAGTCATTGACAAGTGGACTGAGTCGTGTCGGTAGATGTAGGCTACGTGGTTGGGGTCCGCGAGATGATAATAATCGATGGTTAGAGACCTTGAATGAAGTGGCTCAAAATCGTTCTCAATGGCGCAGGTGCATTTATTCTTTGTGTTCTCTCAAATCCTAATCTTCTGGATTCTTCAACAACTCTAGTTTTTGACTTTCTAAACTTTTCTCATTGAGTCATACTTCTTGATAATATCTTCTATCCTAACCTCTCCGATTACTTCTAATACCTTACTAACTCTTCTACTATTGGATTTGAATTGACATTTATATCTGTGTGCTGATGTGGTATGGCGACATGAACTGATGGTACTTACGTACGAAGTTCTACGTTACAACTGACTGACTGACTGAATATTTAAGTAATTTTTTATAAACTTTTATCGTCTAAATAAATTAGCATTGGAGTAAATTTAAAGCAGCTATAGTCTATTGAATCTGTAATTAAGTATGTATTTCCCTTGAACAGTTTAAATATCAAGATAAGTTTTTAAAAACCTGTTCCTTACGTCATACATCCGGGTAACTGTTACCAATCTTTCGACACCAAATGAAGTTTAGTATGACAATGTACGATAATGGTATGATTACTTTTGGCTTACACAATTTTTCATTTAGACTAATGGAGATGAGTGTTCTTTTACACCCTGAAATCATCGATCAATCATTGTTAGACTACCATTAGGAGGAACCTGAAAGCTCTGAACGGCCGTTTCGTCCTACTATGGGCCTTATCCCCCTACTTAAATGGGAATAACCAACCCTACAGTTGAAAGGCCTAATATCAGACCAGAACTTGTAAAACTACTACATATAACTATTTATAATTATGCCATTTACTATTGAACTTCAATATTTCGCTTTCATTTTTTCTGTTTGAATTATATACGTCTCCTAATGTAATAATAATAAGTTTCATTTTTTCGTTCTTTCTCCTTCTCTTCCAAACACTTTCATGAACAAAACAAAATGAAAACAAATAATAATAATAATAATAATTTTAGCTCTATCATCGTTATTTAATGCATGCAGGAAATATTATGCTTGATATTGAAAAATTAACAAGAATTCAACCGGAAATTGAACAATTATTAAAACAATTTGAAGCACAAAAATATTGTTATTTACCATTTTATGTATTTTTATTAAAACCAATGCATCGTTTATTACAATATCGTGTATTACTTGAACGATTAATGCGTTATTATGGTGAAATTCATCCAGATTTATCTGATTGTAGAAGTAAGTACTTGTTTTGTTTTTGTTTTTTCTGACTTTTATTGATGTAACTTATAAAGCTGTAGTATACAAATTTTATTTAACAATTGAGCTATGTATGCATTTAGTACCACCTACATAAGTCAGTCAGTCAGTCAGATGCAACGTAGAACTTTGTACATAAGTACATCAGTTCATGTTGCCATACCACATCAGCATAGAGAAGTAATCGTCAATTCAAATCCAATAGTAGAAGAGGTAGTAAAGGTATTAGAAGTAATCGAAGAGGTTAGGATTAGAAGATACTATTCAAGAAGTATGATTCAGTGAGAAAAGTTTAGAGAGTCGAAACTAGAGAGGTTGAAGAATGCAGAAGATTAGCATTTGAGAGAACACAAAGAATAAATGCACCGGCGCCATTGCGAACGATTTTGAGCCATGTCATTCAAGGTCTCTAACCATCGATTATTATCATCTTGCGGACCCCAACCAGGTAGTCGACAATTACCGACATGGCTAGGTCCACTTGTCAATGACTTCATGGATTTCTGCCATGATTTGATTTGGCCGCCCCTAGCTTTCTTCCAACCTATTCCTACACTACAAAACAAGGCTCGACGAGGCAGTCGGTGGTTGGGCATACGCAAGACATGTCCCAACCACCTCAACTGGTGAAGTTTCAATACTTCATCGATTGATCTGCCATTCTTACCTAGCATAAGGGCTAGTGTGATACCTCCACCATCCAAGAAGATAAATGTAGGATTTAATTTGTCCTACAGATGCAATTCTATAGAACGGTAAACGCAATATTGGCTAGCACAGAGTCTGCCAGGAAAGCTATAGTTAGAAATAAGACCAAGTTTTGCTTTAAACTTTATCTGTTTCTAAACATAAAAAAACAATTACATTAGTACAATAAATGAGGAAATTACAATTATCAAGTAAGATGAGCACAAACGTACCGACCAATATAACGTGTCTTATGGAAATGAATAAAGTTATGAGTCACATCAATAATAATAAGATAATAATGTCCTTCAATCATTAGTAGGTCATTTACAACAAAGAAGGTTTACAGACACACATCAGATCAGACAGATCACGTGGTGAATGCTTAAACCACAATTGGTTGATTGGTTAGCTCTTATGACATAACTACAATTCGTTATAGAAATAACTAACAATAGAATTGAATTTGAACACCTGGAACTTAATGACAGAAAGTCATACTCTTTCACTGCTCAACTATGGCTCCAAGTCAATGAAATTCTATGAATGTTAATGACTTTTTAACCACACATCGTTCAGTTAAATTTAAAATTAAGAAATATATCAACAAATAAAAGTTTAATATTTCATGCTGAAAAACTCAATCAATGGCATAGTCATAAGTCAACAGAATAATAATCAACAAAAATGCAAACATACTTACGCAAATAAAAAAAAGAAAACCTTCAGTCATAGTCAATTGTAAACAAGTTTATTGTTAACAAATTGATTTCATTCTAGCGAAAAAATTTCCAATTAAATTTCTACTTGAATTGAGCGTTGATTTTAATATTGGGAAAAACAATAAACTAACTGAAGCACCTTACAGATTGGAAGTGTGAATCACTGGTATTTATTAAATTCGATAGTAGTCACTATGAGATTTAAATATTTCCAGCTGAATCTTGTATGATGTTGTAGGTTAGTTAAAGTAGTGCTTCCTGGATTTTCAGTGATTTCTTAGCTAGTCTAGTGTTTGTATGTAGCGTAAATTGTGTTTATAATTAAACAGTGTGTCGGATTAGTATTTTCCTGTTATTGATATTAAGGATCATATTAAAACAGAGTATTAATTGCTTCAAACGCCACAAATTCCAAATGGTCATTAATTGTTTTAAATAATTTAAAGTAATGTGTACATGTTTGTATATTTTCTAAATTGCTGATATTGTCGACAATTTTAATGTAATTGGGGGGTCACATCAAACTGTTGAATCAGAAATGAAATGAAATACAAATCTTAAATTCTAATGTTAACCGAAATTCAATTGTATTAAAATGTACACGTATATATATATATATATATATATATATATATATATATATATATATATATATATATATATATATATTCATTAAAGTCTCCTTATCAATCGCTTTTAAACAAATGCAACGTATCTGCCTTAAATAACCTTGTGAATCATTTGTGGTTAATTGATTTACAGAATTTAATATTATATAAGATTTGTAAGCGATTTATTAAATCCGCTTGCCAGTGATCTTCTTATAAACAATGGATTTAATTTTTTGAAAATGCAAATTCAAGTGAATTAAGCATATAACTAGAAGGGGACAAAAACATAACCGTTACTCCTTTTTCATAAGAAAAATTTTTGGTAATATTGAAGACATGGATCTTTGCATTATCAAGGATAAAAATGCAATTCTTAAAAAATTGATTTTTTGATTGCATTTTTCAATCAATTGATCAAAAAGTAATGAATGAAGAGACTTATCGGAGTTCACTGAACCAAAAAATGTTTGACCAAAAAAAACTTCATTTTCTGTTATTACAGATATCAAACTTACATTAGTTTGGCGTGTTGACCATGGAACCATGGCACTTGCTAGTTTTCCTCATGTAGATCTTCCCGTAGTTCTTCTCAAATACAAATTAAAGGATGATTCATCAATAAAAAACTTTTATATTAAGGAGTCTTCGATATTCATAAAATCCAGCGCATATATCTGTCGTTTAGTAATTGTACTTGATTTTGAGTTGATATTATATTCGATGTACATAAGAAACCATTTTTTAAAGTAATTTGAAGTCTACAAATTATTTTTCTTATATATAGATTCAAGGGATAGGTTTATAGAAAACATGTTTTTCTATGTTTTTTTCCTCGAATTTGTACCACTGTTATTAATGGGTTACGTATGCCTAACCACCGACTGCCTCGACGATCTATGTTTTGTGGTGTAGGAGTAGGTTGTAAGAAAGCTAGGGGCGGCGAGAACAAAACATGGCAGAAATCCATGAAGTCATCGATAAGTGGACTGTGTCATGTTGGTAGATGTAGGCTACGTTGTTGGTGTCCACAAGACGAAAGTCACCAATGGCTAGAGATCTTGAACGACATGGCTCAAAATCGTTTGCAATGGCGCAAGTGCATCCGTTCGTTGTGCTCTCTCAAATCCTAATCTTCTGGATTCGTCAGCACCTCTACCTTTGTCTTTCTAACTTTATCTCTCTGAATTATACTTCTTGAATAATATCTTCGAACCTTAGTCTTCTTCATTACCATTAATACTTCTACTATCCTTATCACTATGGTATTTGATTTGACATTTGCCTCTCTGTGCTAATGTGGTATGGCAACATCAAGTGATGTACATACGTACGAAGTTCTACGTTGCAACTGACTGACTGAATGGGTTTAATTCTATTAATTCTTCAACAAAGTTGAGAATCACCTCATTGATTTTCTTGTTTTTTTCTTTTCAACTCTTGATTTATTTTTATATATATAACCTTATAACATTTGCAGTGACCTGGTAATACACGTTAGCACAAGAAATGTCGCATCTTTAACGCATTATTCATCTTCAATAACCTTTTTTTGTGAGGTTTTTTTCATTTTTCATTTGAAATCAAATTGTTTTTCCTCTTCATTTCTGACATTTTAAGGATTTCAAATGTGTAAAAACACACAAACCTCCAAAGCCTTAATTGAAAATATCGTAACAGTGCTCACTAGTGACTAGCTTCGTGAGGAAATTCTCGGAGTTCTAGTTGAGAAGACGTGACTAATGGAGTTCAACCCTGTCGGGTGTAGGCAGTAACTACCAAAGACGAATCGGTGAGGTCACACAAAATCCCTAGATCAATCAGAGTTAGACATTAACACCGTTGGATGTCGACCAAGTGGTCCGATGGTTAGGCGTTCGCGCACAACACCGAAGGTCCCGTGTTCGAATCCTGCGGGATGCAGGGGTCGTGGATGCGCACTGCCACTGATGAGTCCCCTACCTGGACAAAACGGTCGTCTTTCAGTGCTTCCAGGTTTCTAATGGTGATCTAACAATGATTGATTGATGATTTCAAATGTGTAAAAACACAAATCTCCGTAACTCTAACTGAAAATTTTAAGGATTATAAAAAACTTAGAAAAAAACGCTGTGAAAATTTTAAAAAACGAGCTGAAATACTATGTATTATACTATACTATACTACTACTATACTACTATACTATATATATATATATATATATATATATATATATATGTTGGATAATAATAATTTGTTCTTTTTAAATTTACAGTTGCACATGCCAAATTAAATGATCTTATTCAATCACAATGGGAAGCTTATAAAAAAATGGAAAATACATATAAATTGCTAGAAATTCAACGTGATCTAATTGGATTTAATCCAGATATTATTTCATCAACAGATGAAAGAAATCATTGTAATCATATAAATCATAACAATACCTATAATAATAATAATAATAATAATAATAGTAATAATAATAATAATAATCATAATAATAATCATAATCATAATAAACAAACACATCATTCCACATTGTCAACAATTTGTGCATCACATTTACTTGGACCAGTTTATCATCCTAATAGACAATTTATTCGTGAAGGTTGGCTACAGAAATTATCAAAAAAAGGCTATCAACCAAGAATGTTTTTTCTATTATCTGATCAATTATTTTATGCTAGTCGTACAATGACATCGAATTTACAATTTAAAGTAAATTAATTTAAAAATTTCCCTTTTATTCCTTTCTTTATATGATGATGAATATGGTTGTTGACGTGTTTCATTGAAATCTATAAAAAGGGACTAATGTTAGACCGTTATTAACAAAAAAATCTGAAAGCTCTGAATGGACATTTTGTCCTAGTTTGGAACTTATCAACCACGAATATCTATATTTCATCCCATCACGGGGATCTAACCCAGGACCTTCAGTCTCACACGCAAACACTCAACCTCTAGACTATAATGAGCCGGAATCAAACAGTGTTAATGTGTCAACTTTTCATTTTGTAATTGTTAATTTAATCCTTAACACACACACACACACCCAGACACACACTTATTATTAATTGCTTTGTATATGTCAATGTAATAAGTATATTGTTATTGGCCTTAAATTATCAATTTCGTATTGATTTGTAACCGGTTTCTTGCAGTCTAATCTCCCAATTAGGGGGATTTAGTTCTATATTAATCAAACTGTAATGTAATGTGTCCTAGACTAAGTAACTTCAATGTTATGATTACACATTATTGAATGTTACATACTTTTGAGAAAAATTATTTCATTCTAATCTACTACGTTCAGCCTTCTGATTCACAATGTTCAATTCAGATAAACATTCTTCTTACATGCTAATCCAACAAATTATATGAGTTAGAAGATAAGGAAATGACTATAAAGCTTTAATTTTAAAAAAATCAAATCAATGGGTACACAAATCATCGGCGTATGTTTATTTTTTGCTCTAGCCTAGACATGTAGGCGGAGACTTTGGCTAAGATCACAGTCGACTTCCTCTAACAGTTTGTGCCCCCACCTATCGTCTGATCTTGAGATTATGGCATGTGGGCAGGGGCACATCGTATCCCCACTCTTCCGCCTAATTACATATGAGTCAGTCTCTCCTCTAATAGCTCATTTATAGCAGCCCTGGTAGTATGGTTTTGTAGTACCATGAAGCTCATTCATTAGTTGTATAAATGACTACACATATATGCTTTCTTGATGAAATAACAACCATCAAGGAACATAAGTCTCAGTGCCTACTTGTAATTACTTCAAATCACCTAACATATAGTACTTATACAATCTATTTGCCTTAACAACAAGATTATATAGAACCTTCGAATGATGCATTTTTAAAAAGTGTTCTACTATTTTTAGTTCTTCCCTTAAGATTATCAAATCAAAAGGACTGGAAGTAAATCAGTGAATAATCAATAGTTTTATCTCGATACTACTAATCGCTAAATTAGACTTTTATTGTTATCACACAGTTTACTAGGTAGAACGATTTATTTGATAAAAAATCTTTTAGGAACTTAAATGTGAATCACAACCAATCAATCTGAAGACCGAATTTATCAAGAAAACTTCCAAGTAATAAGCTATTAGTCATAAATTTTATAAGACTATTAGTACTGTGGTGCGAGCTACTTATAAGTAGTATATGACGTGAGTGTCAACGTAATGTCTGGCAGTAGAAGATGAGGGAAGATCAAGAAACGAAGAGTGGGAACATAATGAAATTTGTATGAAACGCATGAATAGTGACAATGGATTGATGTTTTGCAAAAAGAACAGTCCAGTTCGATATGATAAACTGATATTTTGCAAATGAACGATTTACGATATCGTTTTTCGATTTTACTGAGTAACTCTGTAAGTTTCGTTAAATACAATTCGGTTGCCCCATCTGTGTTCTCGTTCACTACAGTACTACTATCCAACTGGTCAAAATAAAAATTTTTTGTATTTGTTTTTGAATCTACGACTTAATAGTTGATAACTGATCATTTTAACTACTAAACAACCTTTCAATTTTCAATTCATTTCAGTCAAGGATAATCAGGTTTAATCTTTTTAGCCTATAACCTTTTGATTAAGCTTAAATGGAAAGTATACATACTTGTTTGCATTATATTATATGATATAATTAAAACTTTTGTTTGGGACGTTAGATCCCCAGAACTCGCTTGATGAATTCCGATCAGTTGACTTTGAGATTTCATTTCCCACAGGGAAAATCCTTGGCTGTGATTGGCTGCTGTGTATTTTAGTGTGCTATTTTTGTGACTGTCCCAACGGCGTTTCTATGATGTATAAATAAACGAGAGTTGTGTTCTTGATTGTATTATGTGATTGCTGGGTGTTTGTAGAATATACTTTCTACGCTTATCTATCAATACTTTTCATTAGTCAGCAGATCAGGTTAGCCTACCTGGACGCTAGTTCATTATTGTCTCGTTCGCGTTTATCGACTAAGGCGAACCCGTAATAGCTTCAAGCGTACCTAGTGACGAACCTAACAACTTTGCAAAAATGTTTTTTTTTGTATTTCATCAAAAGTAAACGAGAATAAATGCACTAGTAGAAAATTGAATTATAAACATAGTTACCTTTTTTTTATTTTAGGTCCATGGTCAGTTCTCATTACAAGATTTAATGGTTGAAGAAGTGGAACCAGCGCATAGTTTCACTATTTATTCAGGTAATCGATGTTTTCTTGTAGCTGCTTCATCAGACTGGCAACGTGATCGATGGCTTGAAGATATATCCAGAGCTATTTTGGCAGCTAAAACTAGACCATCATCGTCAGCATCAATTATGAATGATTCAACAATGGAGAACAACAATCAAACTTCCACGAAGCCATTAACTTGTAGTAAGTTTACAAACAACTCTTATTGTTCACTCTGAAGGGGTTTTTTTTGGTAATTAGTTTAATTTATAGGTGGTATTCATCACTAATGGATAGCTGTTTCATCCAAGTATAGAGATCCTTAGAATTACGGACCCACAACCCTACCAGAACACAGGGTGTTTCTGCTCTGCGGTTTCTTGATTCGGATACTGTGTATAAACACTTCGTAAATTTTACGCGTCAGAAGAACAAGAATGGAAAGAAAGATGTAACTGACAAAGTGAGGTATACACAAATCACTGATATATACCATACCTAGATAGAGATTCATTGGACTGAGACCTTCACAATATATATAGTCACCTTCATCGAAACGTGCTGCTTGTTTATTGTCTCTCCTTGAAACATCATGTAAGTATAGGAATATGATAAGTCTGGATTTGCTGAGCCAATCATAAACCAAGGACATTCAGGTCACTCACCAGGTAGTAGTCGAAAAGAACGACTCTGTCTTCAGTCATTTTAAGGTCACCCTGATACTTGAATGTCTTAGGTTCGGTCAGAAATGAGGTATCTGGTAAGTCCTGCTCCAATATCCCTTACTAGGACGAAATAGCTTTTCAATGCTCTCTGTTTTTAACAGATACTGTAAATGTGATCGGTCATTCCCTGAATACTACAGACAAATTAAACCTATCGTCATAAAACTCTCTAAATAAATGTTTGTTAGTTTTATTTGGAAGACACTATTAATAAAATGATGTTATCTGGAAAAATAAATTGTATTTCATCAACAGCTGATAGTATTTTTCAAGAAGTATTCAGCTAAAGTTACAAATTAGATGAATACTTGTTTTATTTTTTGAAACCATGAATCGATCAATGTTAGACCACCATTAGAAACCTGGAAGCACTGGACGGCCGTTTCGTCCTAGTATGGGACTCCTCAGCAGTGCGCATCCACGATTCCTGCACCCCGCAGGATTCGAACCCAGGACCTTCGGTATTGTGCGCGAACGCCCTAACCGTTAGACCACTGAGCCGGTATCTAACGGTGTTAATGTACTGGGTTCTGGGTTCGAATCCTGGGGGGTGCAGGAGTCGTGGATGCGCACTGCTCAGGAGTCCCATACCAGGACAAAACTGCCGTCCAGTGCTTCCAGGTTTATAATGGTGGTCTAACATTGATCGATTCATGGTTTCAAAAAATGTGTAACTTAACAATCTTCACAACCCCGTAATGCAAACTTGTTTTATTATCGAATTATTATTTTTATTAAATGGTCAACTAATTTTCTTATCATATGACTGAAATTAATTATATTGAATACACTTTCAAATTGTAATACTTTTTCATTTCTTATGCTAATAATAAAGGTTTTTTCGCTCTCATTATGACAAAAAAAATTACTAATACCATGTAGTATGTACCGAACTGATAATAATTTTTTTACTTGAAAATAACGTATTATGCTTATTTATCTAATAATAATAATAATAATTCAAAATACTTCAAATCAACAAAGTGTGATGATAATAACCATTATTGTTATTATCTCAGAATGCTTTCTGTTGTGGATACAACTTATTCAATAGATAATCTCATCATCATCACAATCAATAAGGTGACTTTCATTGAAATCATAAATCAATCCTTGTTAGACCACCATTAAAAACCTGGAAGCACTGGACAGCCGTTACGTCGGAGTATAGGACTCATCATCAGTGCGCATCCACAATTAGTGGAGTTCATCCCTGTCCGGTGTGAGGTAGCTAGCTACCTACTGAAGACAATAGATGATGTTGCGCAATACCTTGGACTGATTAAAGCTAAACATTAACACCGTTGGATACTGGTTCAGTGGTCTAGAGGTTAGGTGTTCGCACGTGAAACCGAAGGTTCTGGATCCAATTTCCGTGTATGGGGGTCATGGATGCGCGCATCGCTAATGAGTCCCATACTAGCACGAAACAGCCATCCAGTGCTTCTATGTTTATAATAGTGGTCCAAAAATTGATGGATTCTCGTTTTCAACGACACAGCATTCTTCACAACTGTATAATAAAAAATCAAATGATTGTTTAGTATATAAGAATGAAATCATATTAGAACTTATTTTAGTAGCGATCGAATATGCTTTAAAGTAATACTGTAGTGAAGGAGAACACAGGTGGGGCAACCGAATTGTATTTAACACAAATTACAGAGTTACTCAGTAAAATCGGAAAACCATATCGTAAATCGTTCATTTGCAAAATATCAATTCATCATATCGAACTGGACTGTTCCTATTGCAGAACATCAATCCATTGTCACTATTCATGTGTTTCATACAAATTCCATTATGTTCTAACTCTTCCTTTCTTGATCTTCCCCCATCTTCTGCTGCCAGACATTACGTTGACACTCACGTCATATATTACTTATAAGTAGCTCACACCATAATACCAACTTTCAATAGTTAAAACATCCTCTATTTTCAACAATTGGTTAGTAGGCCTCTTAGCTTGATACTTCACCTAAATTCGTATAAAATTAATCGAACATTATCACTAATCGTTACATGAACAAACACATATAGTCACAATAGATAGATATAGCTAACCGCCCAGTATCATCCAGTTGGTAGGTAGTGAATTGTATTTCTTAACTCAACTAACCACTAGTTATTATAGTTTATATGACCTTAAAGATTGTTGATTTTTGAACTTTTTTTTTCCTTTCATTCAACCTAAAACATTAACAATATTCAGGTGGTTTGGTTTTTGCACTACAATTATTCAAATCAAAAGTATTTTCACTTTGTTTTAACAAATAACAAATAAAATGATACATAAATAAGAGGTTTGTGTGCAAGTTGCTCTCCGTTTCATGATGGATACTTTATATTCATTGATTTATTTGAGCTAAAGGGATAATTAATCGGTTGTTGTGTTCCTAAAGTACACCGAAATTTCTTATCAATACTTTCCACTGGATAAGTGATTATCGTTCGAAAAAAAATTGTTTTTTAATCAACGTAGAAAATCTATCAATTTTAGACTGAGAGTATAATGAATTATTATAATTTTATTACTAACAACTTATTTATTGTCTATTTTTTTCTACTCTACTTTAGTTGCTATGACAATGAGGAAAAATATAATCATGTATAATAGAATTAGTGTAAATGATATGTAAAAAAATAAAGAAATAGTTAAGTTTACAAAAAATAGGAGTAATTACTTCATACATAGTTTGTCTTCCTTGTTATAAGTAGGATTTAAACAGCGCTACTAAAACACAAAGAGCTGGACTTAAGTTTAATATCTGAATTAGATTCCTCAGCTGCCTGAATCCACAATCCTACCAAAGATCAGACTACTCAGGACATTCAATCCTCTGGATGAGTGATTAATGTTGCCAACAATCAATTACGTAACTATATCCTAGTCCCATAGGCAGGTAACAAACTGTCTTACACTCGAAATGATTGAAGTTCATGGATGACGAGGACTTTATATTGCTAAGAATTTCCATACTAAGATGAGAAAGGTGTTCAGTGATCCCGGTTTTTGAACGGTTGTTTAGCCAAGGTCAAGCAGTGATATATATTATGAAATTCAAAAATCTTCGTAATCTCCCTATACTAATAATACTAGAGAAACAGTTATATGGTCTAAACTAGAAAACTATGAGATTTTAAGTTGGTCCTCATCATCACAAACTAGTGTTAGTTAAAGAATCATCGAAATCCAGAGAAAACTGGATAGCTTTTTCCTAGTGTTTTTTGGATATTACTAGTAGTACACTTTCTAAGACATCGTGTATAACTCTGAATAATATAATATTTTGAAATGTTTGATGGTAGGTAAACAGAATACCTGCACACCATTGAAATGAAATATGAGTACATGCATGGATCGAACCTATGACACCGAATAGTGGATATATACTGTTAACATGTTCAACATCGGAAGAAAGCAGACCTCTAGTGTAGTGAACGAGAACAGAGGTGGGGCAACCGGATTGAACTTAACGATAATTACAGAGTTACTCAGTAAAATCGGAAAACCATATCGTAAATCGTTAATTTGCAAAATATCAGTTCATCATATCGAACTGGACTGTTCCTGTTGCAAAACATCAATCCATTGTCACCATTCATGCGTTTCATACAAACTCCATTGTTTTCTAACTCTTACTTTCTTCTTGATCTTCCTCCATCTTCTGCTGCCAGACATTACGTTGACACTCACGTCATATACTACTTATAAGTAGCTCGCACCACACTAGCTGCTATCTAGCTTTCAATCGTTGTCTAATTACATTCATACCGTGATTGTAAACCTCCATAGCTTAATAAACCACATACAATGTTTTCGATTGACTCGACTTGATGAACTGATATTTTTAAAATAAATAAATCATTACGATCAATTTTTAAAACGAATGAGTCATCTCAAGGAAATTTATATATATATATATATATATATATATATATATATATATATATATATATATATATATATATATATATGTCTATATTAGGACTATCGCTATATATATCCAATGGAAATCGAACAAAGTTCACTCAACTCATTATTCATTTCTACTTTTCTATCCTCTTACCAAGCTTTTGTTTTTTGTCTATCTCTTTGTTATGGTTCCCTATGTTTAGGATCAAATGAGATTTTTTTTTCTCATTTGAAGCATTTTGTGTTCAATCAAATGATTTACGTCGTATATATATATGTATATATATATCCTTCGAATGCTTACATATTTTTTTTTGATTACTCTTATTGATCAATCATCATCAATAATATCCAGATAATGTGAAATAAAATAAGAGAATATAATATATCGTGTGAATCAGGCGGCAATAAATTCCACAATTTGAGACTGAGATAGAAAACCCACTGTGAATCGATTTGTGTCTGAACTGAAATTTGGACATAGTTGTTGTTGTTATTGTTGGGATTTTTGTTCAAATTAAGCGAATACATGTTTATTTGAAATTGATTTAGTTAAAAAAAATTTTATTACATGATTCCCTGCATTGTTCGAAAGAAAATCTATCGTATATCTACATATATATATATATATATATATATATATATATATATATATACTAATTACTAGTAAATAGTCCTTTTTTGTCTTTGCTTAGGATGATTCTTTAACAGCAATATTAGTGAGTACCTACAACCTCTCTAGGGACTTGGATTTAGTCTTTACGCTTCATGAGAACAAGTTGCAACCATTTAGACCGTTGATTTAAAATCTAATTTCAGTGAATTGACGATAATTGTAGATGACATAATGAAATTCCAACTTCAACCAGTGTAGTACTTAACAATATAACCATTGTTTAGTGACATCAGTAGTATTCGTTTCAATTTGTAGATAGTTAAGCCTAATCAGCCTAAGTATCTTACTAGGACGAAGTGAATGCTTTCTGAAGTTGGTTTTCTAAGTGATGTCAGTTCACATGAAACATATATATATATATATATATATATATATATATATATATATATACATATATATATATTGATGTAAAAGACCGGCCAAAGAACTGTTTTAACCAATGTGTATCATTAGACAATATACACTGACCATTATCTCCTACTTCTTTGACCTTGAACAAAAGCATGCCTTATCTGTCAGTCATACTTGGTAAAACAAAGATACAATATTTAAGTGATTCTGTAATAACAATAATAATAATGATAATAATAATAATAATAATAATAATAATAATAATGATAATAATAATAATAAATTTACCTTAACATTACTTCGTACTTGTAGACAATACACAATTTCTCATTGTTAGTTTCATGTCATGATGAATACTGTAAGGTTTAATTTCGAGAGTCAAGGGGTAAGTAAAACTGAACGATCAATTTGCTTTGAAATAAGTTCATTCAGAGTAGTAAGTGATAAAAATGATTTTTTTTTTAAAAAATGTATAGATATTCATTCAACTTGAATTATACAATGAATCAATTGTAGTGACTGTAATAATTGTATCAGAAAATAAATAAGTACTTGTTTATTTTTAAAATGAATTCATTGATTCAGTTTGATAATGATGCAGATATGAGGACGCGGATTGGCAAAGCAAGGGCTACATTTATACAGTTGAAAATATCTGCAACTCCAAACAACTTTCAACCAAAAACCAAAATCAGGATTTTCAATACAAATGTGAAAACAGTTCTACTGTATGGAGAGGAAACCTGGAGAACTACGAAGGGCATCATCCAGAAGATACAAGTGTTAATTAACAGTTGTCTACGCAAAATACTTCGTATTCGTTGGCCAAACACCATCAGCAATAATCTACTGTGGGAGAGAACAAACCAGATTCGAGTGAAGGAGGAAATCAGGAAGAAGCGGTGGAAGTGGATAGGACACACATTGCGGAAAGCACCTAACTGCGTCACGAGACAAGCCCTCACATGGAACCCTCAATGCAAAAGGAAAAGTAGAAGGCCAAAGAACACACAACGCCGAGAAATAGAGAAAGATATAAGAGTAATGAACAAACATTGGACAGAACAGGAAAGGGAAGCCCAGGACAGAGTTGGTTGGAGAAAACTGGTGGGCGGCCTATGCTCCATTAGGGGTAAGTAAGTAAGTAAGTATGTACTCAACAGAACATAATCATGTTCTAGATAAAACTATATGGAAATGATACAAAGTTCATCAGTAAAATATAAGATTGAACAGAAGCCGTAACTACCGTATCTGCCTTTTTTTATGTATAGTTTCAGCTCAGCTTTCATTTGTGACTTAGATGAAATTCAGTCATAAATTCAATCATTTCATTTTTGTCAATATTTCTATCTTTTATAATATAGGCAATATTGAAACTGATTCCACACAAATGTTACAACGAGCTGTAACAAGTGTTCATGTTTGTTGGCATAGATGTTTCACACTTTCAATGCAAGATATATTACGTGCTAATGAAGTAAGCTAAGTTTTTTTTCAGTTTGACTAAAATTAAATTTGTTTAATCAATTAGTCAATCAGTTAGTTACAACGTAGAACTTCGTACATACGTACATCAGTTCAGGTTGCCATACACCATTAGCACAGAGACGTAACTGTCACTTCAAATCCCATAGTGGTAGAAATAGTAGCTTATGCATTGTAGGTTACAGCTTCTTTCAACTAGTCCATTTTAGGCAACTAGGTCTCAGACAATTATTATAGTTAAAGCTAAACTTATATGTGATTAGTACACAAATTACGATAAGAATCTTTATTTGAAATTGATATTTGATGTGAACTGACATCACTTAGAAAATCAGCTTTAAAAAGCATTCACTTTGTCTTGGTAAGAGACTTAGGCTGATTACGCTTAACTATCTACAAATTGAAACGAATACTACTGATGTCACTAAACAATGGTTATATTGTTAAGTACTACACTGGTTGAAGCTGAAATTTCATTATGTCATCTACAATTATCATAAATTCACTAAAATTAGATTTTAAATCAACGGTCTAAATGGTTGCAACTTGTTCTCATGAAGCGTAAAGACTAAATCCAAGTCCCTAGAGAGGTTGTAGGTACTCACTAATATTGCTGTTAAAGAATCATCCTAAGCCAAGACAAAACGGGACTATATGCTAGTAATTAGTGGTTTTCAGTGATTGTTTAGCTAAACTCAGCCGAAACCTAGAACGGAGTAAAGGAGAGATTGGACATTTAAAACCTGAGTTTTGAAAGTTAAACATCTGAATCATTGAACAACTCGCTAAGATTAAATACTTCTTACAGACGAGAAAACTAATTTTTGCCTGTTTAACAAAGTGTCACCACGATTAGTTAATCAGTGCATAGGTTTGTAACAGATGAGTATCCTTTAGTACCGATCAGTAGACAATATGGCATCAATTAACATTGATGCTAACATGAATACGGACAGTCCGGTGTCCAAGTTTGTAACCGTATCATTTAGCGAAGTGTCATCAGCTCAACTGCATTCATGGGTACAGCATGCTGATGGATTTCAACAGACATACAGCTTAGAACTGAGCCTTTCAACTCCCATTTGTTGAAGGTGAATTTTACCCTCTTGAAGACTGCCGCTCATTCTGGGGCACTTGTTTAGATTCAGACCCGTAAATGTGAAAATTCACTTATGACAACTTGAAATGATGTACGTACGTACGGAGTTCTGTGTTGTTAGCTGACTGACCACACCCATTCACTATTAAACAGCTTACATCAAGATGAATTATAATTCCCAGTTTAATGTTAAGAACACGGAACCTTTTGTCAACAAATATATTATGAAGCTATAGAGCTGGACATATACAGAACTTTAAAGAATGATGATGAGAGAACAGACATATTTTTTTTGAAACCATGAATCGATCAATGTTAGATCACCATCAGAAACCTGGAAGCACTTGGCGGCCGTTTCGTCCTAGTATGGGACTCCTCAGCAGTGCGCATCCACGACTCCTGCACCCCGCAGGATTCGAACCCAGGACCCTCGGTATTGTGCGCGAACGCCCTAACTAATTCGTTTAGAAGAGAGGATTATGTTTTCTGTACAGCATAGAATGTTTACTTGAGATTGCTTAAAGAGCAGGAATACGTACTTGCAAAAACGAAATCTAGGTGGAAATCTTACAAATACTAATCAAGCAGAACAACTGATAACGTCAGTATAACATAAATATCTGAAAGAAATATTAGTCTCTAATACTGACTAAATAAATCAAGTTCATGATTAAAGAAGTATCACGTAAACAATTAGGATGTGATATTACCCATAAATCATTATTATATTAAACAATTATTTTCCTTTTTTTTTCAGTACCAAACCAGTGGATATTTATTGAGAAAATTTAAGAATAGTAATGGTTGGCAACGACTATGGGTGGTATTCACTCAATTATGTCTTTTCTTCTATAAAAGTTATCGTGATGAATGTCCATTGGCTAGTTTACCATTGTTAGGTTATACTATAAGTAGACCTGGACCAGAAGATCAAATTCGACGAGACAATGTACTTAAAATGCAATTTAAAAATCATGTATACTATTTCCGTGGTGAAACGCGTCATTCATTCGAAAGGTGAGATGAATTTGAAAATTATAAAATATAATATGATTACTGTGATAGGAAATGTTTTGTATTTCATGATACTAGATTCTATGTTTTAGGGTATGTTCACTATTATGAATACATGCATGGAGATAGTCAACATTGATTAATTTTTTGTTATTATTCACACCTTTCAATAATCTCACTTAATTTGCATGATCAGTGTTCTGAACTAGAAAACTGTCGTTCACAATTGGACTTCATGTTGTCTAGTACACTCTCTGTTTGTTTGCATGACACACTGAATGTTGTTGTCGAAATATAACAACATTACTCATACTATTTTGATCTCACCAAATCAGCTGTCATACTGATTAATCATTCGTTATCTTTGTGGATTCAGTAACTACTGCTTGATTACGTCAAAACTAGCAGTTACTAAGTGACTGCTGCATTTTTTTTAGTGAACCAACGTTTTTGTTTAGTACAGTCATATAAGTTGATATATTTATTGTATTATTTGATATCATCAGCATATATACGTAATATTTTCAATAACAGATGATGCTTTTTGAAGGACTCCCTCTCACTTACCAAAACATATTCAACTAGTCACTAAATTCACATATGCAACGGGTAATTAATAACTCTAGAATATATCATATATAGAGCAATAATAGGATAAATAGATAGACAGACAGATAGATACAACACAGAACTTTGTATGTATATACATCAGTTCAGGTTGCCATACCCCATCAACACAGAGACATAACTGTAAGTTCAAATCACATAGTGGTAACGATAGTAGAAGTACTAGCAGTAATGAAGAAAATTAGGATTCGGAGACATGAATCGAGATAAAGTTAGAACGCGAAAGATAGAGATGATGAGTGGATGCACCTGCGCCATTGAAAACGATTTTGAGCCATGTCGTTCAAGGTCTCTAACCATTGGTGACTTTCATCTCGTGGACTACGACAACGTAGCCTACATCTACCAACACGACTCAATCCAGTTATCCATGACTTCATGGATTTGTGCTATGTTTTGGTTTGGCCGCCCCTAGCTTTCTTACAACCTACTCCTACACCACAAAACATAGCTTGTCGAGGCAGTTGGTGGTTAAGCATACGTAAAACATGTCCCAACCACCTCAACTGATGAAGTTTCAATACTTCG